TTGGACAATAGCACTAATGCTCCGGGAAACCAGGGAGAGAAGTGGTCTCATGGATTCCTACAGAGAGCACTGGAGCATCTTAGTACTACACATTCTTTGCAACTGATCAACAAACCAAAAGGAGAAGAGAAAACCTCACAATATATTGCCCCCCTCCCTTTTTTTTGCTAGGGGGAGGGAAAGGTGTGGCTGCTTGTAGGAGCATCAGGCGAATTTTCTAGGGCCTGGAGCCTGGCTGGGCCCAGCTGCAGGCAGCGTAGAGCCCAGCATCTCCTGGGGTGCACGGCACCTGCACGTCCAGGTCTCCTGGCTGCACCCTAATACCTGTGAGCATCGCGGGTGTGTGGCCAGTTCCCCCAGCTGAGGTCGTGAGGTCAGCCCAGCCCACAGCGTGTTTGATCTGAGGGACGGTCTTTGTTCTCCGGAATTCTCTTCCTTCCAGAGTCACACAGACTGGTCTCTTAGATCTTCAAGGCTGCTGCCCCATCTCTTGAGATAAGCAACAATGCTCTGCCCTGGCTACAGTGAGAGTGTTCAAGTCTCCATGGAGGCTCTGCCTCAGGAGCCTTCCCTCACACACGCCCAGCAGATGCCTGGTGCCTTGCTCCCGGCCAGCTCTACTCATCGGACAGCCCCAGCTCTGGAGGCTCATGGCCCTACCCACGTGCCCATTGTTGGGGGGTGCCCAGGACAGAGGGGTTTGGTGAGCGCCAGTGCTAGGCAGCAGATCATCGTGGTCCTAGGGCGTCTGCCTTCAGAGTCCAGCCTGGCGATGCCTGTGCTGCGCAGCCTTGTAGGGTGGGCCATCTATATAAGTGCTCGGTGTCCTGGCACCTTCAGGAAGGGCAACATGAACAGCAGGGCATGCGTGTCCACATTGGGCCCGGACCTCAGGCTGGCCAGTGGGATTTCTGCTTCCTTCCCTCCCTCTGGACATCCGATCACATCGCTTCAACCTTGCTCTGGGCTCCTGTTCTTCGGAGCAGAGCAGCAGAGGAGGAAGAAGGATATTTCCCTTTCCAGAAACCACTGTGCGGGCTTTACTCTGTTAGTCACGGTCAAGAGCAAAGAGAAAGCAGAACCAGAAGACTCAAACCCTGAAACTCGGGAGCGTCCTCACCACTGACTTACAGTATGATCCTGGGTAACTTAGTGGGCAGGGGTTGGGTTCAAGTCCCACATCTGCACTTACAAAGAGAGAGACCATGAGCAAGCTACCTAAACACCGTGTGCCTCTTGTTTTCTCATCTGCAAAATGGGGGTAATGATAGTTGCCCACTCAGGTAGATGTGTTTCCCACAAGGCCTGGGTGCACACCGATTGGCACATAGGAAGTATTCACAGAATAATTGCCTACTCTCTCTCTGAAAAAAAAAGGGGGGGGGGTGCCTGGCTGGCTCAGTTGGTGGAATGAGCGACTCTTGATCTCAGAGTTGTGAGTTCAAGCCCCGAGTTGGGTGTAGAGATTACTTATAAATAAAGCCTTTAAAAAAATAATTGTCTACTCTTTTCAATAATCATTTTCGGCTGCTTCTGCTACAAGAGCCCTTCAAACTCCAATGGGCAGCCCTTTTTACTTACTTGACCTACCCCTGGGGATGAGTCCTTGGCACACATGGGCAATGAGACAGGGTTCTTGAGCATGGCAAACAAATAGGGGAGGAGATGAACTTGTGATAAATAGGAGATTTCTCAATGGATATAGCTGAGGATCAGGCATTATTTCATGAGTAATAGCTCTTAACGCCAGGGGTCAATAAGAAGTTAAAAAGCAAAAGATCCACTGTTGAATATAACAAATTGTGTCTCTGTTGAAGAATATACATCCCTATGCCTCCAGTAAAATGACTCAAAATGGCAAGTGACTCCAATTGCCTCCCAACCCAATACTCTAATTCAGTGGTTCCAACTTTCATGTCAAGTAGAATGCAGACTCCCAGCCTCTACCCCAGAGAGTCTGATCAGAAGATCTAGATTCGGAGAAGAAAAAAGAAGAAGATCATCTAGATTCAGAGCAGAGGTCTGAAGTTCTAACCAGCCTCCCCAGGTGGGTGTGGGGGTCCAGGGCGAGCCTCTGAGAAGCAACCAGACCATAAATGCTCTCAGTCCCACCCAAGAGGCAGAGAGCAGAGACTCAGGTGAGGCTGAGCATGGAAGAGGTTTTGGAAGGAAGGCACAGCGGTAGCCGCCTGGCTCCGTAACAAGCAGGGGGATGTTCTCTTTCCTGTTCTAGGTGTGGTAACTGGGATTCAGGATTTGCGAGACCAGGGCAGAGCTTGGTTTAGTACCCCGGTCTTCTGACCCCAAGCCCTTTCCACCAGTTTTAGGATCAGTTCCAGATAAAATTCACTAGACTTTCACCATCCCCAGGAAGGAAAATAGGGGATTACAGAAATGGCTCTAGGGCCGGAGGGGTGTGGAGACAGCACATCCAGTGCACACACACTCAGCACGCCCCAGAGCCGTCCTGTCTACCCTCCTCCTCCTCTGAGAGTCTCTGTGCTGCTCTAACTCATAGCTCCGGGCCACCTCCTGTATGTCGAGGGCACCTAAGGACCACAAGACTCAGGGGTGGCAGCATGCGGGCTTTCGTCTTCTTACATCAGGACACGTGCAAAGGAGAGTCAGACCCGAGCTTTGAGAAAACTTTGGCCTGGCATGTTCTGGTGAAAGTCTATGCACTCCAGGGCGCCTGGGTGGCTCAGTCGTTAAGCGGCTGCCTTTGGCTCAGGTCGTGGTCCTAGGGTGCTGGGATGGAGCCCCTCATCGGGCTCCCTGCTCCCCAGGAAGCCTGCTTCTCCCTTTCCCACTCTCCCTGCTTGTGTTTCCTTTCTCTCTGTCAATTAATAAAATCTTAAAAAAAAAAAAAAAGAAAGAAAGAAAATCTATGCACTCCTTCTGCCTTCCCAGTCTGGGCCCTGAACTGGAGCAGAAAGCAGAAAAGGGAGGCTAAAGGTCCTACCAAGCTAGAGTAAGCTCTTTTTCACTCCCTGCCTTTAAAATCCTTGTTTGTCTGACACGAGGACAGAGCAATGAAAATAACAGAATTTCAACTAAACCAGCTTCCCATGGTCACAGGGAACCCACGAGAACCACCTGGGAAATCAGGTGTTCCGGCAGAGTGCAGGCGGGTGGGGTGGCGAACACACTATGTTCCCTCTGTTTTTGGTCCCAGTTTAAACATGTGTCCACAACCAAGGGACAGCCAAACCGGTAGCTTTTCAGCCTTATTCCGTCAAGCTCAATGAAAGTGGCTCCAACTATTTAAACACAATTTACAAAATCCCACAGTGCCATCCCAAGTGCCAGGACAACACTGCAGCGCAGCCCTGAATGCACCTTAGCACCCCCCAACCCTGGCTAAGACTTGGGGGGAAAACGCAGGGTTTCTGCCATTGTTCACTCCCATGGGTTAAAACAAAGTACACTGTAGTGTTACTCTCCTCCTAGCCCCGCCCATTCCCCCAAAGCCTCTCGTTTAAAAGCACCAGAAAACTCTCTGCCAAGGATGGTACCTAGACACCAGCTTCCCAGTGCCACAAACATGCTTCTTCTCCGTACCCTGGCGCCTCATCCACCATGGGACTGAGAGTCTTCCCTCGAGGAAGCCAGGGATTTGCTCTAGTTTAGGAGAGGACGCCGCAGGCTATGTTTCAAATTATTGGCTCTCGTGGGAGGGCCAGCGCCTGCAACACACAGGACTGAAGTGGGGAACCCAAGGGAAGGCAAACTTGAGACGTTCTCTGGGGAAAGCCAGCGCTCTCAGAACCCGGGCTGGGTCAGGGCCGCGCGCACAGACGCGCGCACAGGCACACACACACACACACACACACACACACACACACACGCTCAGGTGAGCACGCACGAGCTGCCTTCCGGCAAGGCCACAAGGTGTCCCTTCCACTCTCTCGCGCACGAGTCAGAGCCCTTGAACGGGACCCAGGACTTACCGCCAGGACGCTCTGGGCCAGGAGCCCCACTGTCACAGCCCCCAGCAGCAGGCACCTGCATGAGAGAGGGAAGGAGAGCGCCATGAGCGGGTAGCCTCGGCCTGGCAGTTTTTAGTTACACGCGAGGGCCCCCTCGCGCAGGACCCACCGGGACGCGGCAGAAAGTCGCTTACCGCCGCAGGGCAGGGCTGGACGCCGAGCACTGGTGTCTGTCCATGCTGCTGATCCGGCCGCTCCGGGCTCCGCGCGCTCCCTCCTAGCCTGGAGGGCGAGAGACAAAGCGGGCTTAGCAGGGGCCGGGGCGGGAGCATCCTCGCCGCGGGCCACCTTCCGCGAGACGCGGGAAAGCGGGATGCGCCCCCGCACCCCTGCAAGGGTGACAGAGAGCCGCCCCGGGTACAGACAGAAGAAGGGGGAGCCTTCCACTTAGGCCCCGCTCGGCGCCGCTCAGCCGCGGCCGCTCGGTGCCCCCCCTCCGCTTCAGTAGAAGTGCGCACAGCCCCTGTCTGCGCAGGGCGCCCCAAGTCCCAGCCCCGGCCCGGGTCTCGGCGTCCCCGGGGGTCGCCCTCACCTCGGGCCCGGCGTCCGGGGCTGTCCGCGCGCATCCGCCGCTCCAGGAGCGCCCGCCCGCGGCACGCAGGCAGCGCGGTCGCCCTCGCGGGCCCCTGGGTGCCGGCCTGGGTCCTCGGTGCTCCGCCCGGTGGGCGAGCGCGGGGGCGCGGGGTCGCGCGGCGGCTGAGGGTGAGTGCGGAGCGCGGAGCCCTGGCGTCCCGGCGCGCGGCGGCCCCAATCCCCGGGCCGCGCGCTCCCGCCGCCTCTTACCCGCGCCGCAGGGTCCTCCCCTTTGAGACGCCACCCGCGCGCCGCCGAGGGGAGGGGGCAGCGCCAACAAATTGGGGAGCTCGCCGGGCCGCGCTCAGGTCTCCGCCGCGAGCCGCCGCGCCCGGGACGGTGCGCAGCGCTAGCGCCCCGGCCCTCCGCGAGTGAGCCGCCCGCTGCGGCCCCCCGAGCGCCGGCCGCCGGCCCCCGCCGATCCCCTCCGGCCCCTGCCGCCCCGGGCGCGCCACCATGGGGCCCCGGCTGGGCGTCTGGCTGCTTCTGCTGCCCGCCGCCCTCCTGCTCCACGAGGAGCGCAGCCGGGCCGCGGCGAAGGTGAGTCCCGGCCGGCTCCGCTCCCCCGGCGTCCCGCCCTGCGTCCCGGGCGCCCCGCGCGGCCCCTTTGTCCCCGGGCCGAGCCGCCCGCCCGCCCCTCGGGGGTCGCGCGTGGCACGGCCAGGTGCCCTCTCCGAGCGGGTCCCCGCCAGTGACCCCTGTGGGCTGCATTCGCGCATCCGTTAGGGAGCCTCCTTTGTTGTGGGCTGGGTAGGGGCGAGGTAGAGGACTTCTCAGGGCCCTGGGCGAGCGGAGCCGAGGTTGATGCGCGCCGTGCGGGGCGAGGGGGCCCGGGAGTCTGCGGGATTTGAACTCGCACCGCGGGGGCCTCAGCGGCCCGGCGCCCTCACCTGCCCTGGGCGCCCGGGTGGGCCGGGGGCAAGGCGGGGTGGGTACGCGCGCCCCACGCTGCTCCGAGCCCCACACTCGTGCCCGGGAGTCGCTTTGGGCGTGTTTCTCCCGTTCTTGGGCGACTGCTGGTTGATGCTGAACAGTTGTGGGCCGTTTGTCTGGAAACAGCTGTATCTTCGCTTTCCCACGACTTTTCTGTGGCTGAAGCACGCTCGAGAACAGAAGTGGGGCTCTTGTGTAGTGCAGTTTTAAAAAGTTAACCAAACTCGACTCGTTGCCTTTTATTAATGTACATTAAAAAATTATAACTACATCATATTTGAGTGTGAAACCAAAATGAAACTCCATCTTATTGTTCTAAGCACCAATTGTTTTCCCAGTTTTCATTTCCTCGGGCTGTGTGCTTGCCCGGAAAGGATCTGGGAGCTGGGGTTGCAGGAGTAAAGGCTTCCAGCCCCGGACGGTCCTTGATGTACTGTTTTTCTTTCTTTTTTTCCTTCCTCTCAGATAGAATAAAGACCTCGGCTGGTCCCCAGTGTGAAAGCCTTGCAGACCAAACCCCCAGGAAGTGTGGCTTCTAAAGGCATTTTGCATAGCCCCCCTAATGTTTAAAAAATTATTTTGCTACTTGCCACATTTCCCTCTTACTGTTTGACTGTTTCAGATCCGAATCTTGCTCTTAGGTTTTGTTTGTTTGTTTGTTTTTACTTCTCTTCTGGGGGAATGATAGTCACCGACTCCATTGCTTATAAAATGTATTAACTGTTACATGCCAGAATGAGCCGGTAGTATGCACACCCGGCTCATCCCAGGGCAGGGTTGACTCTACTCGCTCCTTCATTGGGTGTTGAAAGGGCTAGTGATCACAGCAGCAGTTAACTTCAGATGGTTTCTCCCAGCCCAGAGTCGAGCCAGGCACCATACTCAGTTGTTTAAACGCTCTCCAGTAATGATGACAAAATACTTTGAGAAGAGAACTCTCCCGAACACTTTATTTGGGTGTAGAAATATTGACCAAAAGATGTAGTACTTCCAAGGAGAGATTGCTAAACTTGATGGCAAGCAAATGAGAGAAAGTTCTCTATTTGGAAATAGGAACCTCTGTTTGGACTTAGATTTTCTCGTTGATAATTGTAGCAAAGCAAAGCTAATTGTAAGGACGAGCTTTTCAAATAACCAGGACTTTAAAGAACAAGCCACGCACTTATGGGAGCCCCCGTTCTTGCCTGGAAAATCAAACTCATTGCTGTTATTTGGGATTATTTTACTTCCCTTTAGTTATTCTCTGAGGCCCAAGCACATTCCTGTCCACTGGCTTGGGTCTAAACCCCAAGGTGTCCCATAGTGTTTTAAGCTATCTGGCACGTGGATGGACACCCTCTGATCAATCACCTACTAACTCGACATTATCTTTACACTTTATCTTTCCTGACTTAATTAGAGAGATACGGATGTGCAATTTAAAAATAATTGTCTAATTTTTAAAAAGCATTTCAGTTTTCATGCCATCAAGAACTTTTTTTTTTTTTTTTTTTTTTGCTGACCACTTTCCAAAATTACCTGTTAGGTACCAAAAAAGTTGAAATAACTTCAATATTGATCCAAGCAAAATGCATTTAAAAATACATTTTGGATGATAAGATGCTGCAAATCCATCAAATCCTGACTCAGAAGCCACCCCGAAGGGTTCTTGGATTACGTGTGCCTTTGAAAGAGAATCTGAATCACACTTCACCTGCATTTGTACCTGTCCCAGCACCCCGCCCTGTGCTGGGCAAGAATTGTACTCCCCCCCCCCCATATGAAAGACTATTTGATTTTATATTTGACCATACCTGCCATGGTCATACTATTCATTTACTAGTAGATGGATTTTCTAAGCCAGTGACTTTTTCCCCATTCCCAGTCTATCTTGATTCCCCTCCCCAACTTTTCTTTCTGAGGCAAGAAAGTAGGACGAGGGTACAGGCCTGAGACAGAAGTGTGCCCAGAGTATTGTGGTAGGGGGTGCCTGGTGTTCTCAGTCACACAGTCAGACTGGAGGGAATTGTCCCCATCGCACGCGGCCTCGGATGCCTCTCTCACTGGTCTGGGTGACCCCCACTAACAGATGGGTTTCTCGGGATCAGAAATGGGAGCTTGCCTGTAAGTGTGGTAGTGCCTACCCCCAGGTCCCGGCGTGTTCAGACTATTACTCACTGTCCTGGGGCTCAACGACCCAGGACTCATGTGAAGTGAGACTTAGTTCCCATGTGAGTATGGACTCTGTTCCGTTGCAAATGTAACTTAAGTAAGAGATTTGAGCTCTACTTTGGGCCCAGTGACAGCAATATCAGCCCAATACTTCAGGAGTGATATAACCCAAATCATTATGTTCCTTATATAGGGAATTGGTCCAGAAGGAAGTACCTCTGATACCAACCATAAGAAATAATGTGGGTAAATTGCATGTGCGTAAGGGTGGCCCCTACAGAACTATTAGTGGTATAAATTCATCACGTACACCAAGAGTGAGTGTGGTTTAAAATTTGTCTGCTTTTATTAGGCAGATGAGTTTTGGAGGACTCCTTCACCGGATGCCTCAGTCCCTGGCCGGTCTGCCCCTTCTCCCAGGGGACCACCCCTTCCTTCCTTTGTTCCGCACATGCGCCCTGAGCCCTTCTGCAAGCCCTGCGCTCTAGGCAACAGTGAGCGGAACCCGCTCTGCCTCCAGGAAGCTTGCAGTTCGGCAAGAAATGCCGAGCAGCCGGCAAGCCGCTCAGGCTGGTAAATGCTGCAGTAAGGTAAATCAAGGGCCCTGGGAGCACCTAACCAGCTTTGCAGAAGTCAGAGAAACTTCCAGGAGGACATCCCACCTCCAGATCTGAGGGGGAGATAGGAACTATAAGCTCAGCGTTACTATTTTCCTGAGTTGTTGTGGTGCGTTATACTCAGGTGTGGTAAGTCTACCTGTCCTCTCATAGACCTACAGGTCTTTGCATTTAAAAGACGACGCTAAGGCTCCCTCCTTTGAGAAACCAAGATGCCATGGCTTCTGTTATTCACCGTGGTAGCTGAACTTGCCTCCCAGAGGGGTAGAGACATTGAGGAACAAGGTCTAGGAGATCTGTGGTAAGAAGCACCCAGCTCCCAGCAAGGGCCCTGAGTTTGGGGGCATCCCCTCTCCTGAGGCTGCAGGGACACTGTGATGTTTGGAAAGTTGCCGCATGGATGGCTGACTCTAGGCTGGAGTGCCTTTAGGAACTGACCCAGAAAACCTACCCTCACTTGGGCAAGGACATGAGGGAATTCACAAAACCTTGCATTATTCATTAACAAGACTGTTGGCAAATGTCTTGGGACTGGTAAGGGTGGTCATAACTTTAGAAGTTCAGTTACTTAGTTAAGAGCTGGTAAAGATTTTGCAGACGAATTGAACCCACAAGTGCCTCTCTAGAACAAATCCTTTTAGAAATCCAGAGGGCATCAAGAATTGAATAAGTTATAACACTTGTTTTGAAGAAGTAGAGACAATGTTTGTTATAACATTTGTTCCAGAAATTTAAAAAGGATTAACCTCATTAAAATGCCTCTCAAGCAGATTTGGTATTTTGAATTCTTGAGATAGAGTAAGCAAAAGCAACAATAGAATGCCGAAAATAATACCATTAGAGCATTGTTCTTCCTGCTATTATTAAACAACCACTAAAAAATGTCAGCTATAGAACAATACAGAAGACATATTCCTACCATTCTCGCGTGTACAATGAAAGAGGATATAAACCAGAACACGTTTCAATGGTCAGTTTCTTTTGAGACATTGGACACTGTAAGAATTACTTGGTGTAAGTATTTTTATAGTCTGGTACACGGTGAACTGGTTCCATCCTGTGTTTCCCTCCATTGTTCTCCTGGTCTTACTCCAGCGACATGTGTCTCGCCTACTTTTCCTTCTGTTTCTCCCTTCTCTGCCCAGGCCCTGGGCGTGGGTGTGCGATGGGATCCAGCCGGTCGACTCCTCTCCTCTCCGCGCGCTCTCCCCTCTCTGGCTGGGAAGATCTGCTGTCGTGATCCCTTACCATCCCATGAAGGGGGCTCCGAACCTTTCTATTGAACTCCAGCCGAAGATCTTCAATTTCCCATGGGACATGTCACCTTGGCTTTTGTCTCAGACTTAGCCAAGGTGTTCAGAGCTGAACTTAGGGTCTTACCCAGACTGACCGCCCGTCCCCACTGTTGCCTTTTGGTCGCTGATGCCCCAGGGTCTCCTGACACTCAGCTCAGACATGGTGACTTCCCCCAGAGGCCTCACCCTGTCTCTTGTTAACCTCCGTGTCACTCAGTCACCGGGAGGCCACCATGACTTCCTCCTGTGGGCTTCTCCGCGTCCCCACCTACTTTCTCCTCCCACGGCTGCCACCCCCTTCCAGGTCTGTTCACCTTGAGCCAGGGTCGCTGCAGACCCCTCCTCGATCCTGCGCTTCCTCCAGCCTCAGGCTCTCTCTAGCCCAATCCCTGTGTTGTGGGGCGGCCCCTTGTCTCCGGGGATCCTGCGTAGGGCCATGGGATTCCTCTGAGAGGGGCTACCTACTGTCTAACCTAAGTTTCCCTTCTGTTGGGTGTGGTGGTCTTTGTCTTTTCATAAAGACTTTCTTTTTATAGAACAGTTT